AAAAAAAATTTTAAAAGAAATGAGTCCATTGCAGTCAGAATTCTCACAACTAGAAAAATACTGGAATTTGGGGGGCAGGAGAACGATTTCAGATCTTGATTTCTGCTGAGTTCTCCAATGTAGGGGGGGCACATCTTTCAATGGAAACTATTTGGGGAAATTAAACTGCCCACAAAAAGGCTTATCCTTAGTTTGTGTTTAAGAAGGAGGCAATAACCAACAGCGTGGGACCTCTGTGATGCAGCAGGACATCACACTGTGGAAAAACGCAATAGCGAAGAACTCTGTGGAAAGATGGTTTGCATAAACCACTGCCTCCCCTGAGCAGCCCTCGCCCAGACTGGGGAAAAAGGTAGACGTTATTTTGATTACATTTAAGCACCTCCTTGTGAACTTTAGTTACCAGTCCTTGAAATTCATCCCATCTCTGTTTCTCACACCACAGTCCAGTGTTCAGGAATCATTCACTTGTGAGTTGTCAGTCATGAATGCTACATGCAACTACTGGGGTCTGTCTTGGCATAGTTCTCAACCACAATAATTGTTTAGGGGTGCCCTGCTCCCCACTGAGCTAATAACTGACCTCCTATCGCGTGCTCGGAAAGATGATGGTTGGATGGATGGATGGATGGATGGATAGGTAGATAGATGAGTGAGTGGATGGGTAGGTGATGGTATATGGATGGATGGATAGGTGAATGGAGGGTTGGAAAGGTGGAGGGTTGCATGTGTGGAAGAGTGGACAGGTGAACAGATTAATGAATCAGTATGTAGGAATCCATACCATTCCATCTTTATATTGGTGCCCAAGGTAATTCCATAGTGAAGGGGCCCCAAGGGGATTCTGCTTCCACAGAGGAGATATGTTCAGGAACAAAGCTATATTTAGGCTGGGTGGAACTTAGCCTTGGGGTAGATTTTAAGGCCCCAAGAGACAGGAATCGTAGCTTTCCATCTATGAGTGTGCTTTTGTAACCACCTCATTCTCTGCCTCATAAGAGGTACTGAACATTTGTTAACAAAAGTGAATGAATGAACAAATGAATGATTTGAGAAACACAAGGAAGTCTTCCCCAACTCTGATATTCATCCCCACACTCTGATTTTTTGTGCTCATATTCAAACATGAAAATTTCATTCCTTTGTAAATCAATTACGTATCCAGACAGAGTCCAGTTATGAGGCAGAATATTCCTGGACGCTAAGTACATTAAACCCTTTCCATCTGTTGTCTCTTTGGCAGGAATTAGCTGGTCACATTGCTGTCTCTCTTGATTCTTTGCTGATGAGGTTGGGTACGGGGTAAGCCCAGAAGTTTCTCCGACTGGGTTGAAGGGCTCTTGCTGACAAGTGGGAGAGGACTCTTTAGGAAGCACCAGGGCTCTGAGGAGGGACCCTAAGACCCCTGTGCCTGGATCTTGGCAGCCAGCCCTTGGCCCCGGGTTTCTGCAAGCTGGGTGGGGCGCTGAGGTACAGAAAGGAGAGAAGAGGGCAAGTGAGGGCAAGAAAGTAAACATGAGAAGAAGGGAGACCCAGGATAGGAAAGAGAGAAGAGAGGAGAAAGAGAGAGTAAGGAGGATATAGAAGGGAGTGGGGCGGTGGAGGTGGGGGTGGATAGGGGAGAGAAAAAAATCAATTCTATTTGTAGCACAATGTTTCTAGTACTAAGATCATCACTATCTCGCCCGGACAGATGTGTGAGGATTCCATCTACTCATTATTCAACATGAAAATGGAACACGTTTCCATCAGCCTCATCGGAAGTTTTGGCAGATGCTGTCAGAAAGAAACACTGCTTCTGAGATGTGATTTTTCAAGAGCAGATGCTGCACATTTTGATTGGGGTTGAGAAAAAGAGAACACGGGAGTGGAATGTACTCTTTTTTTTTTTTTTAAGACTCCTTTTCCCCAAGGAGGTTTCGCCTTAGACCACATCGAGCTCCTTGGAAGGGCCACGTCAGCAGGGCCAGTGGTCCTAGGACCGCAGGAGAGCCTGCGCCAAGTCCAGTTCCTGCTCCATCTCCCAGCCCGCCCTCGGAGGCCCTGACCTCCCTTGCTCCACGCCATTCATCGCTTTCAGTCCCCGCTATTCCACTTCTGCCCTGACCTCCGTGTCCCTGTCTTGCATTAAGACGTCTGAAGTGTGTGATTCAAGCAAAGAGCATTTTGTTCCCGTCTGAACAAGGCTCAGGGAGACCGGCAGTGCCAGAGACGGGAGTGGGTACCATCGGTCACCAGACTGAAGCCTCACAGTGTACAAGTTCCCCACGACAGGCACCACCTTTCCCCGGGAAGGCGGCCAAGCCCAGAGCCCGGTGGAGGAAATCCCTAGTGAGAGGCCCTTCCTGAGCGCCACAGAAAATGCTTCTTTTCATCCACTCCAGTCCCCTTCCTTTCCAGTGTCAAGGCCCAATCACATCCCCCGTCCCGGCCTTCCAGGCTCCATTCACAGGCCAAGCGCCCCGCCTGGCGCCTGGTGGCTCCTGCACCCCTTCCCCTGCACCCTCCGCTGGCCGGCCCCAGGCAAGCCGCCCCCTTCCCCGCCCTGTGGGGCTGCCAGCTCTCCGTCCACCAGCCAGCCCTCTGGGACCGCACACTGTCCACGCTGTGGCCTCACTTCTCCAAGAGACTCCCGTCAGTTTGCACAGAAAGGGTTTGTTGACTTTGCAAGATTAGCAAGGGGAGCAAATTCCACAGATGCCTGTGTCCCTGCGTCTCAAAGTTCAGACCTCCGGTTTGATAGCAGGAGCGAGGTGATGGAGGTGGCCTGAGATTGCGCGAAAGAGCAACAATACCGATCCTTCTTTTTTGGGCGGAAGGCAGGGGGGAGGTCATTAGATATGTTTGTTTATTTTCACGGAGGTCCTGGGGATTGAACCCAGGACCTCGTGCAGGCTAAGCACACCCTACCACTGAGCTATACTCTCCCCTCCCTGCAATCGCGCCTGATGGAATAGTTACTAGCTGGCAGGCGATTGTCTCCATCCGCTCACCAACTTTTAAATGTAATCTTCACAACCACCTTCAGCAGCAGGTACTCCTACTAGCCCTGACTTACAACAAAAGATGGAAGCCCAGGGGTATTAAATAACTCCTCCAAGGCCCCAGGCCAATAAAAGGCAGAGCACGGTGGGCCTGGGGATGGAACTGCTGCCCCCTCCTCGGCCTCTCCTGATGTGCCCCCGGGGTGGCAGGAGACTTGGAGTTCAGCCTGGTTCTGCCACTCTGCAGGTGGGTGACCTCCAGCCAGTTACACTCTTTTCCCAAGTCTCCACTTCCTAATCAGAAAAAATTAAGAGAATGAGGTGATTTCTTGGAGCACTTCCATATGGTGATGCTGTGATTTCTTTTTTTCTCTCCTAATTATAAGGGTACTCAGAAATATTTCCAAATTTTCTGGACTCAGGGCTAAGCCCAGGTAAAAAGACGGAGTAGGTGGCAAATCTGATCTTTGGTGACCCCTCAAGGCTCCCTCTGTGCAACGCCTCCCTCTGTCTGGGCCAAGCCTTCAGTGTGATCCCTGCTCCCCCTCCGGGCCCCAGCGTCCCAGGATGGGTGAAAAGAGGCTTTGTCTGTCACCTAATGACTCAGAGGACACACAGATCCTGCACATCAGGGTGGGTTAACCCGAGCTCCTTATGAAAAGACAGCTGTCCTTTGAGTGCATACTCACCTATAACAGGGGCGACCAGTGCCAGTCAAAGGTGAG